CCCCCGCCAACGTCTGCAGCAATTTGGCCGCTGGCCAGGAGTCATTGTTCACCCTCGGCTGTGGCGGCTCCGTCCAGATGTGCCAACTGCACGTTTCGGCTTTTGCCAGCTGACTGCGCCGTTTGATAACCAGCTCTCTGGATGCCCATCACTGGCCGCAGAGATAGAATTAAATGATGATGATCTTCCCACAAGTTGGGAGAGGAAACAATGCATATAAATCTTGATTTCATCTCAGCGTGAGAAGTCTTTATCCATCATCACTCATAATGAACAAGTCGTTAGCTGCGATGAATGGTGTTCCGTTTTTTTCAAACACCTCTTTTGTTCACTTTTTGGGTGACTTTTATTTATTTCCTGGGGTCAGATTTCTCTTCCCTGAAGGGAGGTGGCTAAAGTACTCATTTAGCTCAGTCTTTAAGCTACTTTTCTCCTTCATGTAACAGATGTTTTACTCTTTGCCCATCTGAAATGTATGGTTTTACTTTTGTTACTTTCGCACAGGAGTTTAGAAATGGAATGGACCCGTAGTTTATTCCTTCAGCTAATGCATTCATTCCATTGTCTTTGTTTTTAAACCTGTGTAGTAACAGGGTGTGTAAGCATATATGTGTCACTTGGAGGTTTTTTAATTATATAAGAAATCATTTAAATTTAGTTTTTGTAAATTGTTCATGTGACATCTCACCTCTTTGAGATATGACCATCATCTCTGCTGTGGATATAACCATAGTAGAAGTCACAACTGAAAACGTTTTGGTTACTTCAAGGTGTGTTTACTTTTGAACCTGGAATTGGATTTCTTGAAATAGTCGATGTTGCTGGCAGGCTTCAGTGTAAGCTTCTGTATAGATACATCCAGAATTGGGACCTGCAGTCATAAGCTCCGTGAATTGGAGCCACTGCGAGCAGAGCAATCGCTCTAGGGAAAGGTTTCTGCTTGAATTCCCTATTACTGAATTTCATAAACAAAATATTTAATTTTTGTTTTGTTTTTTAAATGTTGATGAGCACCCATAATGCATTATTGAAATCGTCATGTAATACCGTCACGTGGATGAAGGGACTTTGCAGATTAGGTAATTACGTGTCAAATTGGTAAATAATGAATTAGACTTTATTAACATTATCTGCCCTTATCCAAAACTTTTCCTTATTCCAAATTACTTCCCTTATCCAAAATTGGGATTCATCAGTCAGCAGATTTGGAGGGATCTTGCCAGTCATCTTTAAAACAGCACATTGCTGCTGTCTGCACAGAGGAACCCTCTTGCTTGTGCTGCCCTCAGGATCCGAAACAAACCCTTCCCAGTGCCCTTCGCTGCCCTTAGAGCGGGTGGAAATGCTGCCCAGGCTGAAGGATGGTTAACGCTCAGGATGCCACTGCAGTGGGCATGGATAGACTGGAGCGGGAGTAGAAGATGATTTTGTCATTAGTCTTCATCTCCCACCAGATTCTTCCCATTTGGAGTGGATATGCCTCGTACTTTCACTGGGAGACGCACCGATAAATGGAATTTAGGATCAGAGTATTAGCACAGGACGGTCCTGTGCCGTTGTAGTTCGAGTCATTATTAAGGGGTGGATTAGGGTGTGAAGTTCTGAGTAAGAGATAAGACATAATTTAGGAAAAGCATTTCTTCTCATTCAGCAATGCTTCCTTTTAAGTTGATCATTCTGATTTTTAAAAAGTACTAATAAAAATAGACTTAACGTGTTTATTTAAAACTTTCGGAATAGTTTAATAAAACTGAAATGCCTATGAACTTTTCTGCATTTTTTCAATGTGCCTCCAGACCGGTCTTCACAGGACAAATGAATTTATTATGTTTACAGCTCATGCTCTTTTCGAGTACTTGTATAAGAAAGTGCTTTCTGACCTATTTTCACCACTGACTTACATGACATTTTTCAAATTGGTCTGATGTTTGTAGGAAAACGCAAACCGTGGTTGGCTGGTTTGAGCGAGGAAGAAATAGAAGAATTTCTGTCGTGTAGTCAGGAGGGTATGCTCCAGCACGACCAGGGCTAAAATACTAGACTAGTTTTCTCTAATAATTTTATTCAGCCAGTAGACTGCAGCTTACACGTAGGTTTTTGAACAAGCAATTGAGTCACAAGTTTCTGAAAATCCATATGCCTCGATCGCCTCTGTGAGTCGATGACCTTCTGAGCTTCTCTGCTTTTGACTTTTTTGTTTAAAAGTGCCATTGCCATCCTTGCGGGTACCGACCCCCCCCTCCCTCCTGGAGCACGGCGCTGGTAATGGCGCAGAGTTCCCCAGGCGAGCGGCCGCGGTCTGTGCCAGCGCGTGCACCGGCATTCGCCGAGCTGTAGCGTGAGCTACGTCTGTGAAAAAACATCAGTGTGTTTATTTCAAAATCCCTTTTGTTGAAAAGGCTAAAGCTGAATAAAGACTTCTGGCTGAAATTTAACTTCAAGCGAAGGGTTTTTTGTTGCAGGAGGAGGAGGCAGAAGTGGGGCACAACCTTTTTTTCATAGAAAGCAGCACGAAAAAAATGGAAGCAATGTTCTGATTGCTTCTAGCTCCATTTAGATATTATATTAGATAAAACTGGTGCAAACTATTTGGACTATTTCACGTTCCTTGCAGCTTTCCTTTCTTAGTGGCACAAGGCTTTTGCCTCAGACGTATGAACTCTGACCGTTTTTAAATAACAATTTTTGAGCCAACCAACAGGAAACGCAGGTGGTCGAGTGAGCTGTGTGTGTTGGAGCTGAGCGAACCACAGCCCTGGAGTTGTTCCACAGAGGATGTGGCTGTACTGCAGCCGTGCTCTGGGAGCCCAGTGACCTGTCCCACGACAGGCAGCAGCGGGGGGCTAATGGGAATACTGTATCATCTCGTGCCACGTGCCCAAATGACCGCCTGCAAGAAGGACGAGGGACTGGCTGCAAGTGGGGGAAAAGCCTGTAACAACCAGTCAGTGCTGTATAATGGAGAAGATAAATCTGCAGAGGAAATCGTTGAGGCAGATGTTTAATTAGTTGGAGTCAGGCTGGATAAATCAGGATAGGAACTGCCTATGCAGATATGCCAGTGTGCCTGCCTTCTCCCTGGGCTGGTTTCGTTGTCTTTGCAAACTAACTGTTCCTTTTGCTTAGGAAAGAAGCAGCTAAAACAGTCGTATAACCTCTCTGTTACTGTCATGGGTTCCCTTGCGTGCACTCATAAAATAGAAAATGTAATTGATGTTTTCTTATGGTAATGAAAAATAACTAAGCAGAATACTTTATCATGGATTTGTTTAACCTATTGCGTGCTCAGCAGCACGTGTGGCACATGCAGATTTTACGTGAGAGCTGGAAACAAAACACTCGTGGTTGTGGAGTGAGCTCCCAGAGGAGACTGGTCTGATGCAGCGATGGACCACGCTGAGGGGGGCCGGTGCCATCTCTCACACGAGAGAGTTGTCTCAAAATAGCCAACACGGGAGAGAAAGAGGCTGAGGACAGGGTGGTACCCGAACCACGGCAGTGAGGAGAGAAGAGCTGAAAGCTGCCTTCAGTGCTGCAGGGCCTCGCTGCGCCGTCACGCTGGCCCGGGCAGTGCTGGGATGCTGGGATAAAGGCCCTGTGGAGAACCTCAGTATCCATAGGTAGCTTAAGGATGGCTTTGTACAAGCTTGGCATGTCTAGATCTCTTCGAGAATGTTTCTGAACATTGTGAGCACTCCAGCAGCTGATGGTTTAAATATAAAATTGGTCTGCAGTGTGGCAGATCTGCAGAAAGGGAATCATGTGCTTGAAATCATGAGCATAAGAACTTCTTGTGCTCCTTGAATTTACCAGTGAAAATGTCAGATGTGGCGCTGTCTGGATTTTGGACAGATACAGTAATGGAGTCTTGAAAAGCCTTTTTAGAAGGTGAGATTTGAGTGGTTTAGTACTTGGTATAATTCTGCTCCCCAGAA